ATATCGTCTGTCCTTACTATGACAATTGATAAAGCTTTCTGGATAACCATTAGCTAATACAGAGAATGTGTCGTTTGCCTATCTTCATCATAACTTGGGTGCAGGATTAAACATTTTAAGAGATTTACGTCCCAAACTACCCATGAATACTTCTTCTACAATCAAAATATGAACAGATTTATGCCACTGTACGTCACAGTGATTGTGGCGTCTAATATTCGAAGCTTTAAACATTAAAGTTGTACTTTATATACCATTTTGTATTGATTAAACCGTTTGTGCTTCATCGGACTCTGGTATATTTCTTGTTTCAATTGATATTTTGTTAAGTGAGAATTAATTTTGGGTTCAAGTATTGTACTGTTAGTGTCTGGACGCCGGATAACCTCATATTTGAAGGTTTGTACCATGTTTGTCTGATACATTTCGTTTAATAGAACGATAATCTTGCAGTCCCTCAACAATCTCTTATCAATATAATTTTATTTAGAACCATTTGGTTTGTTTTGAATTTGGTTGAGTCTATTTGGGACAGTTTGGTTTTATTTCGGTTGGTCGAAGACTGCAAGTCTGTATCCTTAAAGGTTATTCGCGCGGCGCCTGTAACAGTGAGTAATCTCATGCATAATCCATCTCTAAGAAACCGACTTTTCATCTTAAACAAAAACCTGACTGACTTGGAGTATAAAGATTGCATAGTAAGTTTAGGTGAAAATGCAGACAAAATGCTAAGCCATTTGAATGTAGCAAGCGAAAACTAAATGTTGCGTATTTAGTTAGAGGCAGTTGACAGAAAGTCCTAGACCAAGGTTTCGTGCATTTCGGAACTCTCCAGTAAGGTGTATTTTCAGCCACGACCTCATTACTGTTATTAGAATTACTGCAGTCCCATATGAGATAATTTTTATACATAACACAGTGATACAATATTATTAACTGGATCACGTTTCCAGCAAAATTTACAGCTCATAATCATTTCAGTGTGTTCATACAACTTCCTGTCTTTCCTTATATAGCTTTAAGCATCCTGTTTTTTATCAACTTCTATTCACCCATGAGCCATTCTAACTGCATGAGTTAGGAGCTGATTCGATAAACAAAGGTTCAATGATTAACCTCTCTCTCTCTCCATCTAATTATATTACTTTGTGATTGTAGTGCAGCGGCTGAGTATTTTCCTAGACTACTCAACTTAATGGGGTCAGTTATTTTATATGTAGCTAATTTCTTATCTTCCGATTGCCTAACTGAGAGCAACCTACTAGTTTGACCTATGTAATTGACTTCACTGTCAGTACATGGCATTTGGTAAATTACATATTTTCTTCTTAATTGCAACTATCAAGTCCTTTAGCCGACAGAGTTTGTCTACGAATGAGATGGATGATTTAAGTGCCACCTTAATGTCAAACTTATTAAGAACCCTCCATAGGGCTCCTGATGTTCCTTCCTGACATGGCAGTACTATCACGTCTTTAAATTCCCTATTATTTGTGCCTTGTTTCATTATTTCCATTACTACTCTTATTTTCCTGATGGGTTTTAACACACTTTTAATGAAATCTGGCGGGTAGTTACACACTAGTAATGTTTTCTTTGTTTGTTTCGTTTCATTATTTAAATCTCCTAACTTACTTATCAGGCTCCTGCCTAGAATATACAAGCATTTAACTAAACCTACCCTTACCAATTTTGAGTGGGGTGATTCCATGTCAAAGGTGCCTATCCGGACGTGACGACTTCGCAAATATGTTAGTACCTAACTCATCATCCTGCTCAAAAGTGAACTGGATTCCATCTACTACTGAATTTATATGTATGAAGCACTCAGGGTTATGTTCAGGTTTCATCATAGAGAATGTGTCGTTTGCGTATCTTCATCATAACCTAGGAGCAGGAGTAAGCATTCTAAGAGTTTAACCTCCCGAACTACCCATGATTACGTCTTCTACTACTAGGGATACCGGCGATCTCATTGTCACTCCATTTATATGCGCGTATATTTGATTTTGAATACAGTGGAGGTCGGACATGATTGTTTCTTCAACCAATACCATAGATCCTTCAGAACTAACAGCTAGACAACACAAAAATACTCATACCTCAGTGACCAATCAATAATAATCAAATATACTGGTTGGTATACAGTTTGTCTGTAATATGTAAGATGATGCCACCGAATTGGTCCACACCAACTTCAGGTTTGACAATGAAACATTGGTATGTGTTGACGGCTGTGAAACTTGAACACTAAAAACAGGATACATGAAATAACTACAGTTCCGACCATGGATGCCTTTAATCACTTATTCACATAAGGTGTAGAATACAAATGTGAGTTGACCGATAAAGTTATGACTTCATATGCCTATCCATCGCCCAACGGTTCTCAAGCTTCTAAGAATCAGTGGGTGGATAATCTTTGTGGCATGGCTCAAAATCGTACACGATTGCATAGATGTATTGGCCTCTTATTTTTATCTTCCGTCATAGTATCATCCTAATTTCAAACCCTCCACTTTGTATGACTTTTTGAAGTCTGATAACTTAATCTGATGCAGTTCTGTGCAAGGACCAACGCTGACTTGTCTGTTAGTTGACTATGAAACATTTTTATTCAGTAGCAGAGTGTATCGTAATAGTTCTCACAATCAACTATTCATATTAGTAATACAGCTGTATTTCAGACGATTTGTGAACACAATAAAGAATTTTTCAGTGTAATCAGTTCCAAAATATCTCGTCTTCGTAAGGGGTTTACATGCGAAGTAATAATCTGAAGTATGTCAATCATGTGACGCAGTGTTGTGGCATGTGAAGAGAGAAACAATTCTGTACAATTTTCCTTCATTTCTGTCAGGAATTTCACAGCAGTTTTTGAAAGTTAATCCTAATTAATGTGCGCGAGTTCACGTAGTGATCACCTGACATAATTGCATGATTAATAAAACATTAAGAAATGAAGAAGCCCTTTGATGCATGGGAATTCTGGTAGCCCAGTGATTTAAGCAGGTCCACGTTATTCATCGTGTACTACTACTTGCTTGCTTAAACCTAAAAAGATTGAGTGTGGTTCAAAGCCACGATTCATACACTGGAAAGTGCAAGCCTATAGCAATGAACTACAACAAACAAACAAACAAACGGACAACAGTCGTCGTCTCTTACATTCCTGTTTAGATAATTATCGGTTCCTGCTCAGTGATCACTTCAAACATAAAGACAGATCATGTCAAGTCAACGATGGACTCAAAAAGACTATATAACAAGAGGATATCGATAGAGAGAACCGCTGTAGTAACTTCGATCACATTCTAGTCCATCCATGTGATTGCCTACAACTAGAAGAACATAAAAAACAGACACCTATGAAGCTGCTACACCCCTATGTTTTTATTGAGGGAAGAAATAAGTGAACGCGTATCTGAGATTGATAGAAAGACTTATCCTAAGGAAACCCTCGTATAATATCCATTCATTTGTAGAAATTGGAGTAAAAGCTGTCGGTAAAGCAAAAACAAAGGTTAGTAAATGCTAGTGGATTTCTGTGGGCTTACGGCGAGTTGTCATCTGAAGTGGTGAAGATTAGTGGCGTCCGTCAAGGATGCCCATTATCCCCATTTCTATTCAGCTTCATCACAGATGTATTAATGGACTTAACCCTTTCACACTTCAGCGACTCAGGGATTGACTTGCTACCAGGGAATAATCTCGTTGACTTAGAATATGCAGACAATATAGTCCTTCTAGGCGAGGATGCTGACAAAATGCAGAGTCTACTGAACACCTTGAGCTGCAATCTACGAATGATTGGCATGCGATTCGCCCCTGTAAAATGTAAGATGATGTTATAAGACTGGACTACACTGACTCCTAGTTTAAAAATAGGGAGTGAAGTGGTAGAGCAGGTTGACCGCTTCACTTATTTGGGAAGTAACATCAGCCCCAACGGGTTGATCTCTGACCAAATCTCAGCACGGATACAGGGGGCTAGTTTTGCATATGCCAGTTTACGCCGTCTCTGGCGTAGACGTGATATCCGACTATCGACCAAAGGGCGTGCTTACTTCTCATCAGTCCGCTCCATCCTCCTTTATGGCTGTGAGACCTGGCCATTGAGAGCGGAAGACATGAAAAGATTAGCTGTCTTTGATCATAGGTGTCTGCGTTCTATCTCCCGCGTGAAGTGGTATGATAAGGTAAGCAATATTGAGGTTAGGCGTCGAGTGCTAGGTAAGGCGGGGAAATCAGTCGACGAGGCTGTGAAATTACATCAACTGAGATGGTTAGGACATGTGTTACATATGCCTAGTCATCGCCTTTCTCGACGGGCAATGTTAGCTGACATTGGGTCAGGCTGGAAAAGAGCTAGCGGCGGTCAAACGGAAACATGGCACCAGTCAATGAAATCTACAAGTTAGTTTAAGCCAGCCAGCCACGTAGGAAGGTGTAGACTTCCTGACTGGTTGGGGTCGTGGGGACGGTAAAAACCAATGGCTGGAAACAATTGGTGACATGGCTCAAAATCGTTCTCAATGGCGCAGATGCATCCACTCCTTGTGACTTATGATTTCCAATTAAACTGTTTTGTTCTTCGTTATTACTATTCCTTTGTCTCATACCTCTGTTTACTGTCTCTAATATGCATTTCTTCTACTTTCTTCTCTTGCTTTGTGTGCTACAAGGAGGGAGTGTGGTGAATTGAACTGCCGCACATATGTGCAAAGTTCTATGTCAAAAAAAGACAGACAGTGGATTTCTGTTGCTTCATCCAAACTGATAGAGGCTCCGAATATGACGAGGAGTGAAAGTTACTCGAACGAATGTTGGTCAGTAAGTCTCTGCAACCACCGTGAATAATGGTGGACGGCAAAAGCCCAATTTATATAGTTTACTGTGATTCTCTAAACGACAGAAACAAACATTTACTGATGTAGTGATGAGAAAAGATGTACAATAACTGAAATTATATTTCATAGTTATCTCACATACACATAGACAAAAAACAAAATAACAGAATAAGCATATTATTTTTACATTCAAAATATGATCACCAAAGTAACACAGCAAATGAAATAAATTTAAATCAAAAGTAACTGTAAATCAAAAATCAAGAAGTCAGATAAATTAACAGTTACGTAATAATAATAATCACTAATGATTACTGATATTATTTATCATTTCAAATGAAGTTTTATACACAAAAAGTAGTATGAAAGGCCAGTTAAGATCAACAGATTCTTTGTTACACTCACACACACACACACATGCATGCACAAACAACTTAGCAATATGGCTGCTTATGATTGTTTATTACTTTCATTATTATTATTGTTATCGTTAGCGCTATCGTCATCTGGTGCATGTCCATACGTGGAATGAATTATAACATCCTGGAGAGTGAAATAACACCAAAAAAGTGTGATTGACAACTCAGTTAACAGTTAATAAATTATATATGTATCATTTTTCATAACAAAGAAAGCATTTTCATCGTGAATTGACACTATTCAAACAACAACAACAACAAATCACGTGAATCTAGACAGGATGAGTTTTAATTGTTAGATTCCATCACAAACTAACCTTAGTTAGAGAGATGATTGAAAACCGGGAAACACTGGACAGCTGCTTCTTCCCATTTCGGGAATCTTTGGCAGTGCACGCCCACAACTTCATTGTGGATCGAACTCGACACCTTGACAAGTTACGAGACCTACTCTGAAGATCCCAGATTTGATCTCCAACGAAGTTGTGGTTAAGCACTAATGAAGAGTTCAGAGATAGGAAGAAACAGCTGTCTGGTACTCCCTAGTTTTCAATCATCTCCCTAACTGATGTTAGTTTGTAAGGGAATTTAGCAAGTGGAATTCGAAGCATGAGACTCTAATGAGCTAGCTCTAATTCCAATATGGTTGTGTTTCCTGAGTTCGGTAATCTAACTGCGCAGATTTAGTCATCATTCTGCACAACATCAGCAGAGCAAACCTTAATATGAAGTAAAGTTCATCAAATTCTCCTCGTGAGTCATATAATTGTTTCTCCTGACAACCTCTATCGTGATTGGTTATTAATTTACATCTTTACTGATCATTTTTATTGACTGCGTACTGATGAAGAGTCCCAAACTAGGACGAAACAGCTGTCCAGTACTCCCAGGTTTTCCAGTGGTTCTCTAACTGATGTCAGCTCATGATAAAAATCCTCCATGTATTCTTTATTAATTGATAAATTTGACCTATTGTATTGTATTTGTTAATCGCTTCTCATTCATCTGAATACTACGTTTCTAGAAATACTTTGACATATTTGACATGTTTCCACTGTTTAAAATTTCTAAATTTTCCTAGCCAAACTGTTGTCCATAGTAGTCTACACATGCATCGACATACGAAAGAATACATCTCATTTCTATTGACAACTAATTTATGAATTCGCAGTCGAAAAGGATGCACACTTTGACCAATATAATTTCCATTATATTGGCTTTTAAAAAAATATTAATTATATCATTCAAGGAGACTTCAAATAACTTCCCTTCATATTAAACCTTTCGCTGAAAATGGTGTCTAACAAGGTCAATGGAAGCTTCGCATTTAAATCATCCAGCTGAGAAAATGCAACCATCACGTGAAAATCATCCACCTGACTGGCTGGACTACAAATCTTCTTTATTCTTTTAAAATGAACACTGAAGACAGCTAGGCTAGCTGTTTAGATTGGAATCACAGGGTGAGGTAGAACACAGAATCATCGTCAAATTTCTTGACAAATGAATTAACATCGATAGTTATTAAGATTAGAAATAAATAATCTATGCATTGGTTTTTTGATAATACATAACATATAATACACGTATATATATAACACAATGCTTAGCTACACATATTTTATACAACAGACAGTAATGACAATAATTAAAAAGTACAAATGACACTAACACATACACAGACAAAAAAGCAACACTTAAATAGGCTAATAAGGTCGATTGAAAAAAAGACAGAAAGGATTTCTTTCATCTTCAAATGAAAATCGAGGGGTACTAGATAATTATTTTATCATAATTAGTTGTTCTGTCATCACTTACTAACAGGTTTTACAAGATAAATTACTAGTCACTTAATAGATTGGTTGAAATTCAGGAAGAAGATAATTCATACAGAGACACAAGTGACCAACCCACTGAGATTCAGAGTAGAAATTTCCACAGAAGTGCATCAGTTCGAGTCGCCGCAGTTCATGTAGCACACAAATGAAGACGAAAGAGGAAAAATAGATTTAAAACAACTATAATAGGCAGAAATGTGAGGCAGAAAGAATAGTAGCACAGAAAACCAATAGAGGGTTTAATGGGTATAGCAGACCATGCAGAGTGAATGCATCTGAGCCATCACTGAGAAAGATTTACAGCCATACTACCAATTGTCTCCAGCCATTGGTTTTTACCATCCCGGCAACCCCAATCACGAAGCCAACACTTCCATACATGGGTCAAATTAACTGTCAGAGATTTCATGGACTAATTCCAAGTTTCCGTCTGACCACCCACTAGCTCTTTTCCAACCTGATTATATGTCACCTAACACAAAGCACCGGGGAATGCGATGGCTAGACACACGTAACACATGTCCTAGCCATCTCAGTCGATGCAGCTTCACAACCTCATCGACCGGCTTTCCCTCGAACTTCCCGAACTAGGATGAAACAACTGTCCAGTACTCCTTACTGCTTTTCAATGGTTCTCTAATTGATATCAATCCGTGATCAACTCGAAAAATGGAATACAAAATATCACATTCGATTTTTAGTCATATTCAATCATTTTTGCCTTAACGTCACTTTTTGGACTAGGTCAAGACATGTGACATGAATTAAACACGATGCTAAAGTAAGACAACTATAACCCTTTCATTAGCTGACAATCTTCCTTTCATCACAACCATTTCCAATGAAAGCTGCTGTTTTCAAGTGTTAAGGTGATTTTAAAGGTTATTTATATTTTGCTATAAAACACATGCTAAGATGCTTTGAAATATCACAACTGTATGCTAAAAGTTTTGTAAAAAGAATGACGATTGAAGTCAGATAGTCTGCAACCAATCTTAGTTTAAATATGATAAATTATAAGGGTATGAAATGGAATGTTATACACTAAGCCTAACTAATAGTCATACGTAGAATAGCTTGTGAAAGAAAATGCTTACGTATATAATAATTTAAAAACACTCCTTCTGCTCAAGACTACTACTGTGCTTTTAAGATGTCAGAAGTACGCAAGTAATATATATATATATATATTAACGCTTCTTATCATCCATTATGATGCATCATCAAATAATATAATAGACATGTCTATTCGGAATTATGCATACTACAGTGCATCATCTCTTTCTAATGTCACAATTTTAGAAATGCCATACAATAAGAAAGTTAAGAGAAACAAATCAATAGAATAATTGATAAATATAAGTTAGCTGTAAATAAATAAAGAAAAATGAAAATATTTAGAATTTCAAAGACAAAAAAGAATGAGTACAAACATGAGTCACTTGACTCAACTTTAAATAATGTCAACAAAATTAAAGAAGTACTTGTTTATCTTTACAACAAACAAGTTTGTATACAATTGATTAACTTCTGGTTTGATCACGGATTGATATCAGTTAGAGAACTATTGAAAACCGGCAGTACTAGATCACATTTTCACTCTAGCTTTGGACTCTTCATCAGTACGCACCTACCAAACCCACAGCAAGGAATGGAACCCAAGACTTTCAAGTTATGAGGCCAGCTCATCGAGCTCATCAGCCACTGAGACACAATCCAACAATCCATGAATTCTAACTGCTGTGAATCCGCGATTTTAGCGCCACCACCACCGGACCTAGTGGAACCGATTAATCACGATCTCTCATTAGAACTCCAGACATCTTCATTCAGAAGTAAGTCACTAATGAGCATTGAATTGATTTTTCAACTGTTGGATTCCATCCCGGTAATTGAAAGATCAGCTGGCTCGCCTGGTTGCGTACTGCAGAAGGGGTCGAAACTGGTGACCACTACTCCCTAGTTTCCAATGGTTCGCCCACTGACATCAGTCAGTGGTTAAACTTGAAACCGATTTAATCTTAGCCCAAATAATCCAGATTTCAAAGCATTAGCTACAAAAATAGTGAATGATTTCATGATTTGGCGCCAAATCTCGATCCATTGTCTCCTAGCTACTTTTTATAGCTAATCCTAAAGCACAAAAAGAAGTGGTAGCTAGGAGTATACGAAGCATACCCTGGTCACTGTAGTCCATGAGAACTAGCAACTGCATCGATTTAATTTCCTTCCCTAGCCAACATTCATTCTATAAATTTAATATTATGCAATTTGCAGTTTAATATATCTGAAATTAACAACTTTAAACAGTCACCATTTACATTTGTAAAGCAGTAAATGCTTGAAGAATATACGATATTCTAGTATTATAAAGCCTCTAGAGAGCATCTGAGCAACAAATTGCTGCTAATGATTCAATGGAATGATATGCAATAATCAAGGCTCAGAAAGTCGACTTTTACTTAATAATGCCAACAATAAAAAAGGTATGTGACAACACTTAATTCTTGTCTAGTATCAACATAAATTTTTACACAGAATTCAATTCTACAAGTTCATTCTGCTACACATAATAGCAGAAAAAGAACATACAACTAACTGTACTCTACCAGTGCTCAAATTCCCACCTTACATTGGATTATAGAAACCATACAAAGTGAAAATCTATAGGTGGAAGACTAATTCCATGGGAAATGATGAGGATTTAATGGATCTAGGGAATCATGAAGAGTGAATGCATTTGCACAACATTGATACATATTACCAACAGTTTCAAGCCATTGTTTCTAAGAGCTTCGGGAGTCTCACACGGTGACACAGTCTACACCTCCACAATGTTTAGAAAGTATTGTTTCAAATAAAGCCCTTGTTATTAATATTATTATTATTAAAATACAGGTTGGAATTTGTGCTACAATTCGAATAGCAAGGAAGGTAGGGAATACTCCATTTTAATAATCAATCGGTCAATAGTTTCACCTGCACGCAATCACAGTTAACACAATAAAAAAGCCAAACTATATAAATATTTAACCATCTTTTTTATTATCTAGTGTAGGTTTGCAGGGATTTGATTGGTTAAGGGATTAATCACGAGCTGACACGTCAGTTAGAGAACCACTGAGAAAACCAAACGGAAGTACTGGACAGCTTTTTTGTCCTATTCTGGGACTCTTCATCTGAACGTACACACCGGGGATAGAACCCAGGACCTTCCCGTTTGGAGGCGAGTTTCTAGACCATTCAGTCACTGGGATCTAACCCAATGGTCCACTAAGTTAGGCAAGACGACAGTTGCTCGACTGTGACACTGAGCTGGCGGTTACACTAAATATATATCCTGTTTATTATTCTTAATTAATGAACAGTAAGGAAACGGATGAAGCTATAATTATATAAACTTAATCTACAGTTAATATCTATTTTCATGTAATTCTATGAAGAAAATAAATAAAATAACATAAAACATAATGTTACAACAAATAGCACAGACGACGTATAAACTCATATACGTACACATATACGTGCGTATTATTAGTATATATATATATATATATATATATATATATATACGTGTATAGACAGATTACGTGCCATTAATACACACACATACACAGAGGGTGATTACACGGAAACATAGTATTTGAGACGCACACTAATCTGTTTTCTTCAATGGATACCATGTAATAGCTGGTATATGGATGAAATTTTCCGAACAAAGTATCTAAAATATTATACATACATAATATTGAAATTATAAAACTCCTGATATACAATTAGGTTGAAAGGTGATTATGAAATAATAAAATAAAATTGTTGTCAACATTTCATACTTACATACACATGAGCACACACACATGGATAAAACACGAATAAAAACACTAAACATACTCTAACGTTGTCTATCAAACATGAACTAAGTTTAATTTAATGATTTTAAGTATGAAAAAACACACATCTCAATAAAATATTGCTAATGTACAGTGAAATTCTTTGGACTATGAAAACAACAAACAAATCCAAAGGATTAATATGTTAACGTGTTTTTTTATTATTACCGAGATTTAAAATAAAATTCATCTATATCAAAATTCAAGTTATTTTAGTGAATTTCAAAGTAGACGTGTGACTCGCCGGGTTTTTTCATCTCACTCCGTCACGTCCCGAGTACAACAACATAAGGCTTAAAGTTTCAGTAGCGGTAGTGTTTTTTCATACTAGGAGTGAGTTCGCTAGCGACACGCCCTCCCTCCTGTTAAACAGCTAAGTTTAAGAGTGAATCAGCAGAGAATCAAACCCCTGACCAAAAGCGTGGTTGGCAAGTATTCTATCACTGAACCACTACTCTTTCCCATGCTCACTGGTTTATGCAATCAAACTTCAGTCGGTGGGTCCAGGGTTTCAAATATCGCCCCACCTACTTCAGCCTGAGGAATTGATGGATGAGAATATGAGTCCCCACCATAAACAAGTGTGACTCATAGCTTCGTAAATGAGGCAATTGTCACGGATAACTGGATTCCAACAGGATTTTCGGAAGATGAAACAATTAACTAATAAGGACTCACTGTCTAGACAATGCATTCGAACGCATTCAAAAACGCAGAGATATGTACACTTAAACTCTCCTCACGTAAAAAAATTACTACATCTCTATAAGGCACTGGCAATAACTACAAACAGTAATAATGCTTATATTAATACCAACCATAAAAGTTACCGACGCTTAACACTATAGGCTTATAATATAAGTGAAAATAGAAGTTTTTGTATATTCTGAAATATAAGGAGCTAATTACCAAAAAACGAAGCGTATAGGTAAGATGAAAATATTATAAATGACCTTATTTCATTTGTCTACAATACACTGTTTAATTAACTAAACCCTAAATCCAATAAGCTAAACAATTTATTTAATACACTAAGAATAATAAAAATATACTAATTTAAGAACTTTTGTTTTCATTTAAGACGACACACAAGCTGAGTTTTATTTCATGAACTAGGAACTAAAAATGAAATACAATTCTTATACATACTGCAAAATTCAAGATATCTGGTCAAATTCTTCATACTATTCATGACTTATAGATTAGTATCAAGGTAGATCACGAGATGACTTCAGTTAGAGAATCACTGAAAACTAGCAAGAAGTACTAAACAGCTGTTTCGGCCTAGTTTCCATTCTTCATTAGCATGCATCCACCAACCCACCTCGAGGAATAAAGTACAGGATATGCACGCCACACGGAGAGCTTATTGACCATTTGGTCACTGGGACGGATTATAGTGAGCCCATGAATTCCAGCTTTCGCTAATTCGCGATGCATAGCGCCACCGCCAACCAATGTCATCATCGAGCATTTGCCATCACATGCGACTTGTTGTACCTAACTAGTCGCGACTTCTGACTAGAACCCTTAACTGATATCGATCCATGATCTAACTTGAAACCAATTAAATCGCCGCAAGTCAAAAACACTTCAAGATTTCTAGATTATCTTGTCTTGTCGTCTTTTGTGTATCAGATAAATGCTTTTTTATAGGTTTGCTAAATTGTCAATACATACTTCATAGTTCCACTTTTTCTCTTCTTCATATCGTCATGCTGACTGATTGATCGCTTTACAGAATCAAGTTAAAGTATGGTGTTTTATACACTCTCTCTCTTACAATAACTTACTACAGGTAGACCCCAAAGCATTCAACAGCTGGTCGTTAAACACAAGCGACTACCATGCACAGATACATACACTGTCTAGTTATCAACACCAATCAGAGCTCAGTGGGAGCGCAAGACAATTACTGAAGTCAGTGTTTTCCATGTCATAAAGAAAAGAAGGAGATAAAGGATTTGAAATTAAATTCTTATTCCACTTGATTTAATCTATTTGAGTACTCGACCCTCAATCAAGCAATGGGTGTCACCGATTTGAGTCCCACTCTACCTGTTTTAGTATGGGAAACTGAATAATACCATCAACTTTAATACAACAAGTGTAGCTTATAGTATGACACAGTTGAAATCTGTTCCAGGTGCCTGAATCCTAATTATATGATTTATTAGTCAGAAAAGTTATAGAATTCGATGATAAGCGAAAAAGAAGTCATCTTATTTGTCAGTTGATCTAATCATACAAAAGTTGAGAATTAAACGATAAGAACTACAAATGAGATGTTAGTTAACAACTAGTTGAACCTACATGTACATGATATAAGTTATGCGTAATGTATGAGCCCTAATTATACTACATGGCTTCCCAAACGACAGAATAAGGCACAATAGAAGTGACAAAAAATGACTGAAATTTAGGTGCCTGAACCAATGATTACCAGCTCTACAAATGAAACAATGATAGGAAATTAGTGTACGGTTTTGTTTACTAAGCTATAAGTAATACTTAATATGTAAGACTTTATGATATTACTTGGTCAGTGATAACGAGTTAAGTGGAGAAGAATTAGAAAATTTATAGTCAAACATCAAATCAATAGCTCAAGATACTTCCCCATTCTGTACAAACAGATACATAGACAACAATCAAAAAGAACTCACCTTAACAGTTGAATAAGCTGTGCCAACTCTATCATTTATTGACTTAACAACCTCTGAATTTCTAAAACAATATCAAAGATAAATAGGTAAAAGGCATCGTATGACGACAACCTACCGAATGGCAGAGATAGTTGACTCCACTTTTTCTTTAGCATCTTGTGCGACAGTTACTGTTTTATCCTTTGCTTTGCTTATAAGTTCAGTAGTTTTAATATACCTACATAGCAGTAAAAAGAGGGCAAATTATTATGAACGGACAAAGTGGTCAGAGAATACGGGTAACAAAAAACAATCACATTAACTTTTCTGCACGAAAAGACACCTTCTCTAGGCTTAATCAGTTAAGAAAGTCATGGAATGATTTAGCGGATAGGTTCTTAGTTCGAATCTCGGCGGGAACACCATCATTCTCAAGGAATTGAGAGTGCATCTAGATGATGAGGCCCGAATAGGACGAAATACGACTCCTGGATCCTACTATAAGTCACAATGCACCGAATGAAATCATGTTAATCCTCAGACACTATCCATGCGTGCGCACTAAGAGCCGACAGACACCAAACATTCGGTCCAATAAAAATCAATAGACAGGAAGTACAAAACTAACTTAAATAGTTATGTAATATTAAAAATTTGACTAACAATAAAGTTGTTGGCTGTTATAACTAAACCCAGCAGATAAAAAGTCGAAATGAACTGATAACTTTGCAGAAAGGTGAATAATTTCAAGTTGCTACAGTTCGTGAAAGCATACAAAAATATAATACTAAGATGAACAAACAACACAAAGCGCCATATAACTGCAAATTAATAATTTAAAGACTACAGGTGCTTCTTGATGATTCTATTGATCTCTTCTCTTAAATAGAGTCTACCGAGGTGTTCTCCCGCTGCTTTCACCATTCTTGTTTTAACTGGAAGGCGTATACGAAAATACTTAGTAATAATAACATTTTGCGAGCATCGAATGTTAGAAATACGGTGATTTGAGCGATAATTTATGGTCGAAACGCCATCCAGTTGCCAATACTGAATCACTGTGTGATTATTAAAGTAAGCTTATCTAATATGGAATTACATTCTGCTACAGTGCCCAAGTTCTACACTTACATTACAGGTGCTTATCACAAATGCAACTTGATGACTTTTCATTAATGGTAGTATTTATTATACATATTGTTTAAACTCAAATTTAACACAATAAGGGTATCAAGAGGTGCGTTAGAGACCTCATCTGTCACACCTACACCAGCAGCCACACAACTACCTGGATATACGATGGTGGATTAATGGAAACTTAGACTGGATCTGTGATAAAACAGATAAGAATATGGACCAGTTGTTAAATGACCAATAGGTAGACGAGTAAAATGTGTATCTATTTAATCTGACAATATCCTATAAACTTGAAAATCAATTTTTGAAGGATGTTTTTGGTTAGTGACTTAAGAAGATATTAGTTAACATACCTTAATTCTCAGGTTCATGAAATGCCTTTATTTTTCCATGCCAGATAGCCTTATGTTTATTCTCGACTGGTAGTGATAAAGATGATTTAGAAGTAGTGATTATAGTTGTCTAGCCTATCGAGAATATGACACTGTACCTAATGGTAATGTGTATGAAAAGTTATAAAACCTAAACGACACTCAAAAGGTACTTTTGTGCATGACATTCCTGCAATCTTATCTGAACATAATAGAAAAATTATGTACTAATCAGACTAATTTATAAGTCTTAATTTATTGGGTGAGGGAAAATAAAACTATTGTTATTAGCCACTGGAAATGACTTGAGCACGGCCTGTATCAAGAAAACCATTGTCTCACATTAGTATAAAGGTTTGAATGCCTTCCAACAGCCCAGAAAGTTTAACAACAGCGTACCCAAACATAAGCTTATATATATATATATCTTACGCTTCTGTATCCTCTAACTTGTGAATGCCTTCCATGAGATCATGTTGCAAAGTTGAAAGTGAGGTATAACCAAGACTCTTCTTTATCTCATTACATCGACGCAACTTTACAGCAAGAGTTTCTTGAAGTAGACGAATTTCCTCTTCAACCTACAAAATAAAAAATGAGATAAAGGTGCTAGACAAAATGTTCGAATATGACTTTACACACGACTTCTATTAACTGCTCGTATGGATAATACAGTTACCATATCTTGAATTTTAAGGCTCTGATAGTCGAAATAACAGGTGTCGGACTCTAATGTTAATGGAAATATTATTACATTGGAATGAAGGTACACTTAACTAATGAGTCTGAAGTAATACAAAGCACATGGTCAGCACCTAAATAGTTTAAGTTATATGAAAGATTTATCACTGAAGTCGCACTTAAATGTCGATTGTCGCTGACTGATAATACATTTCAATAGGAAGAATCACCAGAAAGGCTTTTCTCTACTGACCGAATAAATCATATAAAAACGTATAATTACATGGAACCTTCAAGACAATAACTTGTATGAAATATCTGAGACCAATGCAACAATCAGTCTATACGATGAAGTGTCTAAAGTAGATCGTACTTGAACGATTAGGCATTAGCACTTTAGCCTAAATCTCGAGGATTCAGAACAGTTTGGTGGACTTCAAACGAAATCTTTGCTTGTATCAGTCATTGTAGGTAACACTTCAAGAATTGTCAAGAATTTTTAATCCAACATTGATGCCGTTAGTTGCAGTTAGATTTACTTACAAGTAAACAAGCATTGCTTCACTTAAAATATCTGAAGTAAAAAGTACTCCAAAATACATTATCACACCTAAAAGTGTTCTGGACTGTGTTTAGAAAATGGCGTAGTGTTAACCCAGACAAGGATTAATGTTTATCGAATTGGCCCTGTATTTAGGAAAATATCAGGATGAGTGAATTTTAAGTTAGCTAAAATCAGAAAGATATATAGGGAGCAGGAGTGTGTGAAATCAATTTCAACAATGACTTGGCAAATATCGCATCACCATACTTCATTATTAGCCGAGTGTTTCGTGTTATTCCAATCAAATGACTTATTATAAATGATTAGTTTGTTCCTTGTCATAACATTGCATTTTTTGTTATTTCCCACAACCCAGCTAACGTTGACTTCGTGAGCACGGCTGACACTGGGCGACCTTTGAAGTCACCAGTACGTTTGCATTAAATCGTAAGTTTTCCATCTAGTTTGGCTTTGCAACTAAAGTATATTAAGTTGTCAAATAGACACTATTGTTACATGGAAAAGTTAAATGAATCCTTACGATCCCTTTCGGTTTCCGAAGCCATAGTGAGCACTGCAGACACTAACAAATTCGGATGACTAAGTTCCACACCCACATGGAAATCTAACTTCCCTGTCGCATCCTAGACGCGTTTGCTGTATTAGATCAGTTTATTTGATGTAACAGAAACGATTAGTAAGTGGATGATGTTTCTAGTACAATTTTTTGCCTAGAATAACACCAGTATTTTCACACAAATCCCTGATTTGATTTGAATAACCTTAATCCCTTCTCTTTTTTAGTTCACCTATTCACATATCCAATACGATAACATTCAGTCCGGATATACGGAAAATTGCAATAAAAGAATGAGGGAGTAAATCCATATTGAAAAAGTTACGAAATTATATGAATACATTGACGTGATTATGAACAATACACATCATTCACTTATAAATACTGTCTCTCTGTGTTACACCTAAAAAACTTATTGAGCATATAATAATACGCTACACATTGCCCAAAATCAACTCTTACATTAAATTTTGTACGGTAAAATTAAGTTAGATGTTACTGCCTCCGTAAGCCTATGTATTTTTGGCTGATTGCAGCCGAAAAGAAACTTCTGCATATTTTTGCAGAAAGAACAAGAATAATTGTTTGTTCCTTTGGCTTTGACTTCAGTCTGTTACATGCCCAGTGTGGTATATAAAATTACCTGAGATAGTTCAACCTGTAGCCTGGCTTTTTCTTCGTCTGTTAAGTTAGAACCATTGGTATTGGGATCTTGTGCAGTTCCAGCTGGAGTACTTGTATCCATGATGTGGTCTGAGTGATGTAACGTGTCAGTTGAACAAGGCGCTTCGCAATTAGCTTTAAATAGTCCTTGAGTAAAAGAAAAGTCCGTGTTTCAATTTCTAAGAAATGTGGAAAGTAGTCTTCCAGAACTATATTCACGCTATAACTACCAAACAGTAAAGATTTATCGAGGCTTTCAGTGAACAAACCGGGTGAACGAAGTCTGTGTTACCTTTCTTAACTTTACTTATCTGTGAAATCCATATACTCAGTTCTGTAGTGATATTTAAAAAAAATTACCATATACTATTATCGAGGTTATAATTTCGCCAGACTGAGTTACCTTTCACGCCCACTAATCAGTTACCCTAACATCCGTATCATTGCAGCTGTTCACGTTATTACGGTTGACTTTGTGTCTGTAGATTTCCAAATTATAACTACACAAGAAATAGCATTGGTCTGTTGAAAACTAATATACTCTGAACTGACCGAATATATGGTAGTCTCTTTCTTTAAAAATACTGATTAGGATTTTGGCTAACAAACATGCGCATCGATCATCATTGTCAGCTGCAAACTTTAGGGAAAAGCATTTATGAATCAGATTTAGTTAGCCTATACGGAATGTTAGCATACCTCCTCTTGATTCTTCATATAATTCAAACAAGTTCATATCGGAGAATATGTCTTCTTCACCATTCGTGTATTGAATAATTTTATAAATGATATCCATGACAATATATACATAGATATATATAGATACAAAGTGGTTTCTTGACTTTATATATATATATATAAACGTAGCAATACCCTCATTATAACCTATCATTTCAGCACACTCATCTATCTCACAGTCTTTACACCACACGCCTATCTAAGCGCACACTCCAGCAAGTGTACTAAATTTTCATTTAGTTCATAACCTCTTAACTTTGAAGTATCTGATTACCGTGCTCCTTATGGCTAGCACCCGTGATAGATCCTCTTCAGTGCTTGTATAATCCTGTATTAATCAATGTCTCTGGTAGTGGTAAAATCGAAGCTCTGGGTAGCTTACTTCCAAAAGTAGTTTGGGTATCAGATTACCAGAGTACTTGCAAGAGGTTAAGTGAAGCAGCATCCAGCACATCTTGTCTATCAGTGTCCCATTTCAGTGTTTCCGTCGATGCGAATCGCCTTACCTGCATTCAGTAACCATATAAGAAAGATAACTGTCTCAGGAACATATTTATTACCGATGATTTATCCAACGCGCGCTAAACAAGATATCCCCAATTGAAGTTCGTTGCCGAACAAATCTTGCCAGCCCTATGAGGTCTAACAAGCAGTCCGCTTCTTATCTCAAAAGAAACTCCACAAATAATCCGGTAGGTTGGTTGAAATTCCGCTTGGTAAATATTTTTTGTGAATAATTTCTAATAAAATTGTGTTATGTATTCTGGATTGATAGGAATTCTCATTTTCTGACAAGTCATGTTGGTGTCCATGTCATGTGATCTGACTGTGGCACAATCTTAGCATATTGGTTGGAGTGATTAGTGTCGGATGGCACAGTGGTTAGGACTCTCGCCGACCAAGCACATGGTCCGGGGTTCGATCCCCTGCCGGCGCACACCCGATATCTATGGTCGGCCTGTAAATTTGGGCTACCGATATCCATGCTGAAAATTCCATACTTGTACTGAAAATACGGTGTGGAAACAAGCTGTAATCAAAATAAAAAAATAAAAAGTGAACTTTGTCAAAATATTGCTATAAGGAGCAAGATGGAATAGTTGAGGGATAATGCAATCTACACAAGTAGTCTACTCTATATAGAAGCTGCACTTTTTGGCAGAGTATCATTCAATGAAGACCTCACGTCTCAGGATATCAATGCAGCCTATTTTCGTGTGGAGAACAGTATTATTTGACAAATGAATGCCATCAGTACATGGAGATCACATATAAGTGCTCACGGAATCTTCTGTAGCAACAGAGGTTATAATGTAAATGCATTTCTCAGCATGTCTTTGGACAGGAATTATGATTAGTTGAAACGTTATCTGTAAGTGGATATAATGCATATTTGCACTGATTGGTGCAGTGTGATATGGGCTATGTGGATTCGATGTATAAAAGATACCTCAACTTTATTATTATGTACTCTTGTCTACCTAGCTGACTGCTAGTCCAACAAATGTAGGCGGTTCTCATGATTTGGACATCATTTTGATTTCACCCGGTGCGTTCGAATCAGGTGACGCTTTTGCACTTGTTTTCGTTTATATTCATTTATTGATGCTGTTGATTGATCTTTAATAACGACGGGCCGAAATTCTAAAAAGCGTGTCCGTGTGAACACCAGTAATTTAGAAAATAACACCAGCTCGTCTAATAACACATTACCACCCCGTATTATTAGTAGTTCACCCAAAATAAAAGACTCGAACATAACAGACACAATATCGATTTAAACGCACGCCGTTTGGACTAGCAGGTGCACCGTTCACGTTCAGACGACTGATGACGCTATTACTTAAGAACTTGAAAAACGTTGAGGTGTACAGTGATGATCTCGTCATATATAGTCAAAACGAAAACGATCATGTGAACCATGTGGAATCCGTGCTGCGACGCATCGAAGAGTTTGAACTGCGCGTCAACACAACCAAGTCTCAGATAGCCAAAAAGAATGTAACTCTTTTGGGACATAAAGTGGGAAATGGTGAGATTAAACCACTACCGGAGAAAATCTTGACGATAAAGACGATCCCGGCCCCGAATTCAGAGAGAAAATTGAGACAATTCTTAGGTAGAGCGGCGTTTTATAGTCGCTTCGTGAAGAACTTCAATGAGATAGCAGCCCCTCTGTACAGACTACTAGGTGAACCGAAGTTTGTTTGGTCAGAGGAATCGCAGAAGACATTCAACAGGATTAAACAGCTGCTCGACCACCAACAAATGACACTAAAGCTACCTGTACCTGGAAGACAGTTCACAGTGTGCACAGATGCCAGTGACTACGCCATAGGTGCGGTCCTAAGACAGGGTGAGGGAATCGTTGAGTATGCAGGGTTCTATCCTGGGACCACTGATGTTCTTGATTTTTATCAATGATTTACCATGCCGTCTAAGCTGCCCGGCTCTTCTATACGCTGATGACGTAAAGATATGGAGGGCGATAAAGTGTCCGGAGGACTCAGATAGACTGCAGGCAGATCTAAGGCTTCTGGAAGACTGGGCGGTAACCAGTGGCATGATTTTCAACCTGAAAAAGTGCAAAGTAGTGAAGTTACGCACCTGTAGACTGCAGAATGCAAGTTACACCCTGTGCAATGAAAGCTTGTCCTGCCCAACGTCGGAACGTGACTTAGGTCTAGTTCTAACGGAGAAAATGGACACAAGCGTAAATTATACGGGGGATGTAGCGAGGGCATATGCGGTCATACACTTTACACATAGACAGTTAAGTGCACTCACTCCTGAGCTCTTTCTAAGGTTGTATAAAACATACGTCGGACCGCATCTTGAAGTGCATAATATCATTGCACCCCCACTGCTTAAAAGAGACGGCAACCTTTTGGAAAGAGTCCAACGACGGGCAACAAAAGGAGTGGTTGGTCTCCGATATAAACCATATGACGAAAGGCTGAAGAAATTAGGCCTATTCACACTCAGTTACCGTCGCCTGAGGGGGATTTAATTACTGCCTACAAGATAACGAATGATCAGAACCACCCAAACAAAGGTGTTCTGCCATTGAGTAGGTATAGGCTTCCTCGTGGAAATCCTAGAAGGATAGCTCATCAGAGGGCAAGGACCCGGGTGCGCTCCCACTTCCTTTCCCTGCGGGTTTGCTGTCCCTGGAATTCCTTACCGGCAGATGTAGCTATGGCACCATCTGTGGACGCCTTTAAGCGAAGGCTGGACAACCATGCAGCGACACAAGGACTGCATCCAAATGGCCTATCCCCTTAAAATCGCATATACCATTCAAAGGTAGACAATTAAACTGGTCGTTTTACTTCTTCACATTCCCTTCAGTCTTACTCTCCTGACAGCTTTAACTACACCTATTATTATTATTATCATTATTATTACTGGTATATATATATGCATACCGGTTGACTGACTGTTGTTACGTTTTCTTATTCTTTCTCTGTCTGTTAGTTTGAATACCTTTACTAATTATATCTATTATTATTATTATCTCTTTTCCACTGACGACGATACCGAAGGACTAACTGGTGAAAGGATCAACTCCATTCACAGTAGTAACACACTTCGTACTACAAACCCCATATAATTAACCCCAGCACTACTCCTGTTGGAGTCAACCAAAGCTACGACAGTCGAGTGGCGGGACGAGCCACACAGACGTTTACCGAAGATCAGGAGCCTCTACCTCACAATCAAGAGGCGAGCACAAAGAAATCAAATTGGTTTATACTAGCTCATAAAAATGATATTGGATATTGGATGCCAGTCGGGCTTTGACACACACAGAGCGAAAGTATTCAACGATAGGGAAAGAATGTTTAGCGATGGTATGGGCAATCGACAAATGGAGACCTTATTTACTCGGCCGGCGGTTCCACATCGAAACGGATCATAAGCCGCTACAGTTTCTGAAGACAGCGAGAGACCCACGAGGGAAATTGTCATGGTGGATGTTGCGTCTTCAGGAGTACGATTTTACCATCTCACACGTTCCTGGAAATGAAAATGTCTTGGTAGATTTGTTATCGAGACCAGAAGACGAGTCTGAGTTGCCCGAGGTCGCTTACGGAGTGCATGCAGTAGAACAAGACCCACTAAGACTGGCACGCAGACAAAGGTTGGACGATACGCTGAGTACAGTAATACAGGTGATCACTAACGGAATAGAAGTGGATCCAGCTACAGCGAGTAAGGAGCTAACAACACTACTCAGACAGAGAGATCGACTAAGAGTGAATGTCTACGGGACTCTGACCTGGCAAGAGGACGACGGAAGCTGGCTAGCTGTCATACCTCAATCGTCGTGCCACGACATGATAGAAGAATGCCACCAGCTAGCACATACCGGAGTGGTCAGAACAACCGATCTCTT